AAATTAGTGGTACTATCAATAGAACTACCATAGGCCCCAATGTTCTCCAATAAAATGATAATGATGTTTCCAAAGTACACTAGAGACATATATAAACCAAAGATTTATTAATGGATTTTGAGCTCACATTTAATCATGGCCCAAATCTAGAAACAATTGTTTTATATGATGTGGCCCTATTCACTACTTGCTCTCATGAAAAGGTCGCTGCAGATATGGGTGCTATAGCAAGTGTGGTAGAGTAAGCAGATGGTGCCCGGCTATCAGAAAGAATGATGCCTGGGGTCTTAAAATCTGTCTTAAAACAAGCTACCATCTAACTGAGGTTTCAACTAAGTCCACAAGAAAGAAGCACATCAGCCAATGTTACCCCAGGATTATAAATAATAAAAGTTAAACCCAGAGGAGAGAATAGCATTAGAGCTTAAATTCTGAACATCCAATTTGCAGATGTATATAGATGGAAATGAAAGCCCAAACTCATTGGCAGGGTCCCCCCAAGGAGATTAAGCCTCTGGTGAATTCCCTTCGACTACTGACCAGGGAACAGAAGGCCTTGTTATCCGACAGAGTGAGTGCATTGTAGGGTGGCTCATCTAGTTGTAGTTAGGTTAAAATGTGGCACACTGTTATTGGGTCTTCTTCTTTTTTAATAAATCATTTTACTGGGGACTCTTACAGCTCTTATAACAATCCATACATCAATTGCATCAAGCATGTTTAATCTTCTTTTGATCCAATGTAGGCTTGTTTCAGTTTTTAATATTTTCTGCTTTTCTTTTGATTGAGGTTTTCCCCCCTCTTTTATTATGTCACTATAGTTGGCCTGTTAATTTTTGGGGGATTTTTAATGGTTTTCTGTATATGAAATCCATGAGAGGTAAATCTACAGAGCCAGCAACTGGATTAATAGGTTTTTTGGTAGGGCATGGTGAGGGAGGTTGGTACGAAATGTGGAGCTAACAAAAATGAGTATAAAGGAGGAGAAATACCTTACAATTGCTTGTAGTGATCACACAGCTCCTTTGAATGTGATTGGGCTATCAAAATGTATTACATGTGAATAAATGTCAATGAAACTATTTTTGAAAAAGGAAGTCTGAAAGAGTCAAAGGGTGAAGTTTAGGTTTTCCGATGAAATTTTAAAGAATGAGTAGGTATATTGTTGTACTGAAAAGAAAAATTCTTGATGCAATACTTCTGACCTGTTCTCACCAATGACATTTTAAATGTTTTCTCTATATGACCAGTTGTCTTGTTTCTTACTACAATCTCACTGGCCTCACAGATCTCCTCCAAAGCACTATTTTGATTGGACCCCTTTCTGAAGGTGCCCTAAGAGACCAAGACAAAGGCGTTATTGAGAGAACTTGTCTGCACCTATCCACCGATGGCAGAGACATGCTTGAACATGTTTTGTTCAGAATAGACTCATGGATGTAGACCGTGGGACCCTTGTAGCTACTTTTTGACTTGTCCTTATATTATGTTTCTAGTGAAAGCTTACAGAGAAAATTAGGTTCCTATGTAATGATTTCTAATGTAAAGATGACAGCTAACTGACTGGAAGAGATCCGTATTTGTACCCACTCCTAAGAAAGGTGGTCGAACAGAATGCTCAAATGTAGACCGTGTCACTGACATCACACGCAAGCGAACTCTGCGGCGGATCCCCTGACAGGAGCTGCATCAGTGCACTGGCTGGGAGCTGTCAGAAGCTCCAGGATTCAGAAAAGGACTTGGATCAAAGGATACCATTGCTGATGTCATGTATCTTAGCTTACAGCAGAAATCACCTGAAAAATGCTTCTTTCATTGTATTGCTATGCCAACACATTCAACTGTGTGGATCATTACAATCTATGGATAGCAGCAAGAAGAATGAGAATTCTAGAACACCCACTGTGCTCATGAGGAACGTAGACATGGATGAGAAAACAGTTGCATTTCATTCTGTTCTACCTGGGGATGCAATGACTGGGGACACACCTGAAGGCGCCCAACACCAGCCGCAACAAGGCATAGTGTTTAGGGTCCCCAGTGGCAATTCAATCCCACTAGCCAGTCGATGGGGGGAAATGGGGCTATCTTCCCATTGAAAAATCCATAGTCTCAACCCTGTCCCCATAGGGTTGCTATGCGTTACAATTGGCTTGGCAGCAGTGGGTTTGGTTTTCCATATTGTACAGCGACATTGGTTACAATTTTCACCTTGTGTCAACATTCTCATTACTTTCATCTGGTTGTTTGTTTTCTGTTAATGTCGCTTTCCACACTCCTCCCCCCTATACTTCTCCTTCTTTGTTTTAGGGTAAACATCGATCATTTGTTTCATCGAGATGATTTTTTTTAAGGAGCACAGTATTTATGGATATGGGAAATATACATACATGCTTATGGATGCTGATTTCTCTGGCACCAAGGGAGAGACAGTAGACCATACATACATATTCCCTTTGCTTTTCTCACCCAAACCCACTTCCACCAAGTTAATTCTGACTCCTGGGAACTCTACAGGACAGAGTAGAACTGCCCCTGTGGGTTTCCCAGACTGTACATCTTTACCAGACTAGAAAGCTTCCTTCTTGTCCCAGGGAACAACTGGTGGTTTTTAACTGATGGGCTTGCAGTTAGCAGCCCACTGCCCCACCAGAGCTCTTTATATTTTCTGAGAGATAATAAAAATAAGAATAGCAACAACTAGAAATTGTATTCAAAATTCAGTAAATGCATAGGCGATTTTTTCAATATTTCTTCTTTGTAGATGATTAAGACTGGAAAATGATACTCTGCCCACACTGCCCCTAATAACATGCTGTGCACGTAATGCAGAAAGCGAGTTGGAATATAAAGCAACAGACTTCTGGTCCTCATCCACACAAAACCATCTATGACATGCTGCGATTGCGCATAAAGTACGTGCAAACATTGTCAACATTGCCCAAAACAAGTCCTGAAACATCAAGTGGCTGACACCCTGTCTCTGCTACCTGTGATCCTTCTTGGAGGCAGCTGACTGGGAACACGGAGGGCCCTGTGTGTGTGTGGAGGCAATGGGCTGTGGGAGGTTCTCCCCCTGAAGTCTTCTTTTGCTCTCTTTCCTCAAGAGATGCATATGTCCCAAGTTCAGAGACAGTTTTACAGAGAAAGAAAAGCCGGTGAATTTGCAATCCATTGCACCAACGATCTTAGCTCATTATCTGAGTAACAAGGACTCTACCAAATGTCCAGAATGTGCTGGACACCAAGCTGAGATTGGTGTGCTTCACGATTGACTACTGCCTTACCATGTCTAGCTCAGGTAAAAGTGGGGCAGGAGCGAACATTACTGATGGCACCGCAAACTGGACAGGCTTTGTGACAGACATTCTCACTTTCTGGACAGCTAATCTGGTAGAGAATTTTTGTGTTTGTTTTTAATTTGCAAAGAGGTGTGTGTGTGTGTGTGTGTGTGTGTGTTTAGGGTCATTCTATGTTTTTTAAAAGGGCCTTGGTGGTCCTATCCATTAAGCATGGGGCTGCTAATAGGAGGGTAAGTGGTTCAAACCCACCAGCCTGTTCACTGGAGCAAGGTGATGCTCCTGTCAAGATTTATAGCCTCTGAAACATGATATAGGGTTGCAATGAATTGGAGTCTGCATGATGGCATTGGGCTTGTTTGGGGGACTAGAGGATTAAAAATGCAAATTCAGTCTTATGAATTTTCTGTTAAAAATACTTCAATGACTTCCATTAAACAGAATATGCTTGATTCTTGGTTGGAAAAGCTTTATCGTACTCTGCAGTTGTTGCCATTTCTTTTTCTTCTTATACAAAATTAAAGGTTTGTGGCAACCCTGCATTAAGCAAGTCTCTTGGCTCCAGTTTTCCAGCAGCATGGGATCACTTTGTGCCTCTGTGTCACCTGTGGGCAACTCTCACGATATTTCCAGCATTCTCTTCATAATTCTAGTGCGCATCTTTTTTTTTTTTTAATTGAACTTTTTATTTTTATTTTTTTAAAACATTTTATTAGGGGCTCATACAACTGTTATCGCAATCCATACACACATCAATTGTGTAAAGCACATTTGTACATCATTCTCAAAACATTTTCTCTCCACTTAAACCCCCGACATTAGGTCCTCATTTTTCCCCTCCCTCCCCGCTCCCCCCTCCCTCATGAGCCCTTGATAGTTTATAAATTGGTATTTTGTCATATCTTGCCCTGTCCGACGTCTCCCTTCACCCACTTTTCCGTTGTCTGTCCCCCAGGGAGGAGGTCACACACAGTTCCTTGTAAGCGCATCTTAATACTCACTGCCCTGGAGTCGTGTCTGACTCCCGGTGACCCTAGAGGACAGAGTAGAACTACCCCTGTGGATTTCTGAGACTGTAACTCTCTGGGGGTAGAAAGTCTCGCCTCGTGCATCCTAATAGTTTACACAGTATCATAGAAGCATCACTTTTGTATGCACCAAAAAGCCAAAAGAGTTCAAAGTTCCTCCCTTAATCGTGATAGTTGCTTGATTGCGGTGGTCTGGAACCAAACTGGTAGTAAATCTGTATATCCCCTGATGGCATCAGCAGCTAAATGCTCGACTGCTAGGATGCCTGTTTGAATCCGCCCAGAGGCTCCCAGGAAGATGGGTCTGGCCATTTGCGTTAGAAAGATCACAGCCTTGAGATTTCTGCTCTGCACACATGGGGCCGCTGTGGGTCAAAACTGACAAGTTGGCAAGGAGCGACAGCAACTGCGTGTGTGTATGTATATGAATTTAATTTTGTTGTTGAGAAATATCACAGCCAAATAGGTAAGCACCAATTCAACCATTTCTACATGTATAATTCAGTGATGTTGATTACATGCTCCAAGGTACTACCTACTTACGTTTAATGGTCAATCATGTTCACATCGCTGATTTGAGAAAATGTCTTGTAAGTGTTGCGCATTGATTCTCTTTGTTTTTCTGTGTGTTATGTAATATATGCCTTCACAATTGTAATGTCTTCCTTCTCAGCCTTGGCCAAATGTTTCCCACTTGGCAAAGGACTTTATAGACAAACTGCTCTTGCTGGACGCTGGTCATCGCATGTCTGCTGGCCAAGCCCTGGACCATCCTTGGGTGCTCACCAGGGCGGCAGGGTCTTCCATGAAGAATCTCCAGAGGGCGATTTCCAGGAACCTCAGACAGAAGGCCTCTCCCCACTCTCGGAGCCCCGCGTCTGCACAATCTTCTAAGTCATGCTGTTCTGACAAATCGAAGCGTAAGTGGAGCAAGAGAAACTTAGGGGCAGAAGAATCATCACAATCCGCACTTCTGTGAGCAGATCAACTTTCACACGATTCCATCCAGCTTTAAGGCA